CGGCACCGAGCCGACTTGTTCAGTCGATAATATGTTGATTATCATAAGCTTCTGCCAGCTAGTCTCGAGCCCTTGTCCTAGTCGAAACCACATCCACTGCATCCACCGATGCTCACCGCTTGTCCAGCAGAGATTTTGGGTGACCTGTCTGTGGTCTTGGTTGCTCTTTTGCGTCGACCACACCAACCACACCATGGCCTGTCCAGAAACATAGGATACCATCGTTGCTGCGGCTGGCTCGGGCAGACGGCACCAGATCCTGCCCGTCATCTGGCCCAAGCTTCAAATTACAGCGCCCCCCCCCCCTGCGCCCCTTCATTCCTTCCAGAACTTCGTGTCCAGCCTTCCACAGCGCCATAACGGAGTGCGGGAATCGCTAGCTGCTGCTTGGATTGTGCACTGCTGCCTTCGAACAAACGACTTGCGAGTTGGGGTCTGGTGTCCACCACTCTTTACTTTCAGTCTCCGCACTTGCAATGGAGCGTTGCACTGTCGCAGACTCCTTGTATCTCGCTGGCTCTCTGGACCTTGCGGAGAACGGCCCCTGGAAACAATTCATTAGCAGTATAGTCCTTGCACCGGGTGGGGTTTTCAACAACGCCGATGAGCCGGCTATCCAGTGAATGGCGTGCTGCTCATGCAAATGCACCACAACGACGAGTGCGGACAGCGACGAGTACCGACGTGAATCTCCGACTCAGACGTCATGCCCCATGCCAGCTTCGCTCGTTGTGCCAGGCCGATTGCGGTAAGGAATCGTCGTAAGACAACGGTCTGAGAAACCTGTTACGTGGCTCATTGGTGCAACAGATCGGGCGATGCGACGGAGAGACACATCTCCAGCCTAGCCCGGAGCCACGGACGACAGGAACTGCAAGGGCTGAGCCTTGATCAGCGTCGTAGTTGTCTGATTGCCCACACACATATTGCGCTCAGTTTACTCGAACATGACAAGCTTCACCTCCTCAGCGGCCACCTCGTGCAAGCCACTACGGCCCTTTTCCGGCTCATTTTAATCGCGCCCGTCGTACTTACACAAGAATCATCTTGTCAAGCCTTGCTCGGCTGCATGGTTTCGTAGCAACGAATTGGTAACCGATTCCGTGTTTCTTCTACCCTGGCTTGCCGTCGTGGATCCGCGCACACTGGTCGATACACGCCAAAGAGCCGTTACAGGCTCCGGACGTTATTTGTTCTCTCGGCCTCGTTGCCGAGTGGATCGAGTATGCACACACGGACGGATACGTGCTTGCATACCAGCAGCCTTGCGTCCTTCCTCTAATAATACTGGTAACACTCAGCAAACGCAGCGAGCGATGCAACACCAACAAGACAACCGGTGCCAATTAATGTATCAAAACTTACCCAGTGAAGCAGCGGCTACTAATTCAGAACCAGTTGGCACAGCTACCCGTCCGTCACAACCCATGAAAATGGAACTACATGCGAGTTTTTTTTTTTTTCCGGCGCAGGTAACTCGCTGGTCGATACGACTGACCCGAAGGAGCAGGTCCTTGATGACGGCTATCGGATCTCAGACATGACTCAAGCAGCAATAAAATGTGCCCAGGACTTGCTTTCAGGCGATGACTTGTTGTACGGACCCCCAACCTGCCGCCTTCCTCACCTCTCAGCGCCGTATTTTTAGGGGACAGCCAATCATTGCAAGCCTGTATTAATGAGCAAGACGTGATATCGAGCGCAGTAGTTGCAATGAGACAGGAGGGACGACGACCTTTTTTTAGTCGAGCAATTATGACTTGCCTCGCAAACCAGCATATTGTTCGCGACGAGACTGTGGCGCAATGTGCAGTCTTCAGGCACCCAGTTCACCCACGTACCCTGTCAGTGGCTTCTGCCCCCGCCGCTGATCACTCGAAGCAATGACAAAACTCGTCATTACTCAAATACGCTAGATGTTGAGGTATGGAGTCACTAAACAAGCTGGCATTGAGCAATTTGACTGACACTGGCCATGGGTGTACTTAGTGCCTCACATATACCAATCATCGAGGCTCTCAAGCAAGCCACAATGGCAAGCCAGCTTCCCAAATACATTAACCAACCTCGATTATTTTGATTCTGTTGCGTCAGAGATTCGCAGTATTTCGCAACTCCGTTCAATAGATGCCCCTTGCCGCCCCAACAGGATTTGCGGCAGGCTTGGGAACCTAGTGCTCGAAAACAAGCTTCGATGCAGCAGATCTGCCTTCGGAAGATATTTCCATGACACCTACTGGCCCAGGTAGCAGCCGACTTTGTTCAACAGAAACCGCAAGAAACGTTACTGTCCGCTTTCTAGACTGTTGTTCAGAACAAAGAAGCCGCCAGGGTCTGAGACGATGGCTTGCCCGAGCCAAGGAAGCCCCACGAATCAGGTCTGGTATCTACCTGACTATCTGATTTCGAATATGCCACTAGCAAGCCAGGGAAGAACATACTGCGGCGCCGGCTCGGCAAAGGCAGGATGCACGGCTATCCCGCCAGCCGTCCGCTTCATTTATTACTCCGCCGGGGCCAGATTGCGTTGCTGGAGCCCAACCCCGCTGCAACCAGGGTCCCTAGAAACGGAACCGAGTGTGCCCTGTGCATTCTGGGGTTTGTGGCTGAACGGTGGTGCCAGTGCCGGATCCCTGGTCTTGGCAACGACCCTGTGCGCTGGCGTTTGGGAGCTACCAGGAATAAACACTGACTCTCTTTTCTCCCACGGGCGGTTCGCACCAGACCATCTCTGCAGAAGCTGTGGTGTGGGTGTGATTTAGCTCAGCGGCAGGCTGAAATTCACGGCGACATGCGCTTGCAAATGTTGTCAGCCTGGGCATTGATGACAACGGCAGCAGCTTCACTTCAACTTGTTTAATTTTCTTCGGCTCCACTAGGACGAACGGGCAGGGTTGAACATGCGTGTGGAGGCATGAAAGCTGTGCGAAGTCACCGACAGCATTGCTGCCATCTCGGCCGAGCTTCCGACCAGACGGACGGTCATCCTGGCCGCCCTGAACTATCGGCAACAACAAGCCGGGCCGAGAAACGGGAGACACCAACTGTCCACTCTGCCCGTGGTCTGGCCGGCTGGGAGAGCCTAGAGGAGGTGCGGGGCGGCTACGTTGGCATCCCCTTTACTAGCATTGAATCCCTTGCAGCATGGCAGTCGGAGTGACTCGTCAATTGGAAATTTGAGTCTTTGCCTGTGACTTTACCGAAGCCACCATCTGGAAAGAGACGAGTGCATTCTCAATTGTCCGCGCAGCTGTGCGCCAGTCAGACACCCTCGACTACCTACAAGAGGGTCTCCCGATAGCCAGCATGAAATTAATACCCGGCGCCACGGAAGAATCAAGAAGGTGACCATTCTTGTCGGGTAATACTTTCCAGGGCGCGCCCCACGCAAGTACAAGCCCTCGGGCAGCCTGATGGCTTGGCCAGCCACGAAGAGGCAGCTTCTCAACCTGGGATGGGGTGCGTGAAGCGTCCTGGAAGGTATTGGACGAGTAAGGATCAAGTTATATGTCATATTCAAGGACTTTGATGAAGAGGGGTAAAATGCTTGGCTTATTATTAACATTTTCATGCTCGCACAACCCCTAGCGCATGACGGCCGTGCGAATAAGGTCAAAGACAAGAAACCGGCGACGAGGCTGCGACTCGCACGACATCGCAGCCAGCCCTGGGCTCCCTGCTGCGTTCTGACCAGTCACTTTGCTCGGGGCCGCTGCTACACTGTGCCAGGAAGGAAGAATGAGTCGCTCCTTTTATAGCTCAACGGGGACCATTTTCCTTATCACTTTGTTGCCAAGGCCCAAAGCATCTCCGCCCGTGTTTCTTCTGCCTCCCGTTTTCTGAGTAGAGGGAAGCAAGAAACAGCGGAATACGCACGCATCCGCTCCGAGAAAAGAAGGTTTCGGCTGCTTGCACGTCTTTGCGTGCCGCTCATGGTGCAGCATGCATATCCGCACATACCCTTGTTTACTTACCACGGCCGTAGCCTTCTCCTTTTTGGTCTCGCGGAAGGTGGGAGGGGGGGTAAGACAAGCTTTTTGGTCCTATCGCAGCCAGGTCCCCGGCCAGCGGGCGACGGCGGGGGGGCGACCCGGCTATTGCGAGGCTACGGAACATGGAAATCTGCTGCTGGAAAGCGGCCCCCCCTCCTCTTCCTCCTCCTCCTTCTGCTCCTCTCGGGTCGCCGAACACAAGAAGAAAAAGGTGGGCGTGCATGTTGCTGGGGGAAAGCTTATTAACGGTTTGCGTTGAGCGAACGGAGGAGGGGTGACCTCACAAACGCCAACGTCCGGAACCGCCCGAGATCCTTCATTTCCTCTGGGTTGTGGTTGCTCCGGTCCTTCACACCAACGGTCCTCTTCCCCGCGCTGTTGCTGCGTGTGTGTGTGTGTGTGTGTGCCTATCTCTCGGCTTGCTGCCGAGAGTTTTCTGTGGCTTGGTCATCGTACGGCCTCAACCAAGGAAGGGCAGCTGCAGGGTAAGCTAGACCAACGGCGCTGCCGGGCTCCATCGGCGGACGGGGAACACTTTGCGTTCCTCTCCCTCTGCACGCGGCCGAGGGGGGCGGTAGATTTTTGTAACTCATCCTGTTGTGAGTCATGCTAGACGCTGCTGGCTCGTGTTTCAGTAGACCGGGACCCTCAACTTGTCAGCAGCCGTGATCGTTGTAGCCGTAGGTAATGCTTTATGGTGTTGTCGCAACTGTGTGTTCCATTTTTCGCCCGAATCGATCTACCCACAAGCACGGTTGGGAAGAAGGTAGCAGAAGCATGAAAAACGTCGTCTAATGAAGAACTGCTCGCCTCTCGGTCCGTGTTTTTTTTTCACTTGCATTTCGCACTGTGTACAAGATGCACCGACACCAACCAACCCAACGAAAGAAAATCATGGGATAACATAGACCAAAGTTCCCCTATCATGGCAACTAAAATGTTGACAAAAAATGTAATACCAAAAAAAATAGAACTCCTATCTTGACTCGCATTACCATCTATCCCTTTTCAACCCTCGGTCGTATCCATCGCTTCTCCCGCCGCCGCACCCGTCTCTCCCGCAGCAGCAGCAGCACCGCCGCCTGCCAACTTCTTCCTGGCTTCTGCGACCCTCTCCTCGCGCCAGCGCTCAATCTTCTCCTTGAGGAGCGGCTGGGGTACCGCGTCCTCGACCGTCATGGGCTGGCGGGTGAAGGGGTCCTTGGGGTCACTGAGGAGGTGCTGGACGATGGTGGAGCGGTCGACGATGTGGCGCGAGGGCAGCAGGACCGGGTCGCGCATCAGGTCGCCCATAATGGGGTCCTCGAACTCGGGCGGGATGTCGTCGCCGAGGTCGAGCTCGGCCTGGTCGAGCGCCGCCTTGGCCGCGCGGAAGCGCTCCCGCAGGCGCTCCCAGCGCGCCATGTCGGCCGGGTCCTTCTGGTGCTTCGAGGTCAGGATCATCGTCACGCGGTCGAGCACCTCGGGCTTGTAGGACCGCCCGTCGGCCGCCACGGCGTCGACAAAGACAGACGAAGCGCCCAGGTTCAGGTAAATCTCGACGAGGTCGGACAGCAGATGGATCGGCCGGAAGTGGTACTTTTCGCGGTTCTCCACGTTGAGCTCGGCGGCCGCCCGCTTGCCGGCGAGCGTCTCAAGGTTGTAGTTGAGCATGCTGGCCAGCCGGGACACGATCTCGGGCATGGTGAAGGCGTCGCTCAGCGCGTTGGTGAAGAGCTTCATCATCTCAAGCGTCTCGTTGGCGAGCTGCATGTACGACGTCGCCTGGTTGCCGAGTGTCTGCAGCTCCTCCTGCTTCTTCTGGCGGTCCTCCGCCGAAATGTCTGCGCCCTTGAGCTCTATCTCCAGTGTTCGAATCTTGGGGAACTTGGTCAACGCTTCGTCGAGGACGTAGGTCACGTCGTTGAGCAGCATGTTGACAAACTGCACAAAGAATCCGCGGTTGGTCCTGTTTACATATTAGGAGGGCCCATCCTTGTTTGTATGTAGGTGATACTTACTTGCTTTCTCGTGTGAGCTGCTGTTTGTACACGTCATTGGACCAGACGCATTTGATCACCTGGAAGATCTCGTAGCGAATGTTGAACTTGTCGTAAAAGGCATTGTTGCCCGTCGACTCGCACTCGATGTAAAACTTCATCAGCGCGTGAAGGAGGTATTCATTGGCAAACGGCAGGGCTACCAGCTGGTCGCCAAGAACACCCTTCTTTAGATGGAGGAAGCTCCAAGTTCCGTAGAACAGCAACGAGACCAGGGAGGACTTGAGATAGGGGTTCTTGATCCAGTCCGAGGACCGCAGAAAGGTAACGCACAAGGCAATCATCTCCTCGCCGACGGCACTGGGCAGAATGGTAGGTAGCCACTTAAAGACAAACTTGAAGTTGTCTACGATATTTTGCAGGGCGTATTCGGGGAGGCAAGCGAATGCCTCCTGGTTCTGGTCCGACAGGGGAAGCTTGATCACCTGGCTTTCTCTGCCGGGTTTGTAATTTTGGCCGGTGGCAATGCGAAGCAGCCAGACGGCTACGTATCGCATGAACCGGAGCGACGTGCTCTGCATGCGGTCATCTAGAAGAACGCTCTCTATTGCATGTTTGTACGCGATGCTGTTCTCCAAGACCTTAACGTGCTTCTGCAGCGTCGATTCAAACAAGGGAAGTTGACTTGGATTGCTGGCCACCTTACTGCGCTCCGCTTCCATGGCCTGAATCCGTGACTCGAAATACTTGATATCTTTTTCAAGGTTCTTAAGAAGAGAGTGTAGGGACTCACTGCCATAGTGATGTGCGGCAAGAGTAAGAAAGAAGGCCTCCGAAATAAAGTTGGACTCGCCCTCTTCTTTCGCCTCATAGTACTTGTCGGCCGTGGCCTGATCGGCATTGATCTTGGTCTCGTCTTTGATGTCCACGCGCGGTTTGCGTCGCAGGTACTTGATGTCGATCTTGTCCACCTTGCTAAAGTCGTTATCCATGAAAGGTTCGCAAAATCGATCCATGATTCTTGCAATGTTGAGCATGAAACCATCAGAGGCAATCTCTTGGGGATCAGCCTGAATAGCTCTGCGTTTGTGGTTTGTATTCATGATGCGCGCGAACCAATCCAACGTTCGTGTTCTCGTCTCCGGGCCTGCTCTTATGAAGGCATTGGAAATCGTAAACAGGTCGTCTTGGTGGGTTCGCAAAACCATGCGAAGAGCATCCTGCGCATTTGTGATGCGACCCTTGTCGAGGGATCGGGCACCGGGGAAGTAACTATTGGCGGCTTTGGCTTGAAGGGGGGAGAGGCGGAAGAAGGGGCCGAGAAGGGTGTGCTTTTCGATGCCGGGGGCGGACTGCGCCATGTTGAAGGTGGCATGTTTGGAGAGGTTGGTGATGAGGATGGGAAATCGGGTGTAGGTGAGCAAGGCCTTTCGAGTCAGCAAGAGCTTTCAGCAGATGAACGATAAGAATATACCTGGACGTGCGGCTTGTAGTTGTCATTCATGGACATGAAAGATAATTGGCTGCTTATGCGAACCATGGCGTTGTTGAAAATTTCTGGAAAGGCTTCATCCTCGTCGAATCGCTTGATGGCCTCCTGGATGAAATCAAAGCAAATGCCGTTCTCGTCAGTGAAGCCGCGGAGCAACTGCGGCGCGATGGTGTCGTGATTGGGGTTCGCAACGCGTCTACATCTCGTTAATTGCGAACCACTCCCGTACGCTGTCGCTACACTAACCCGTAGAGTTCTGGCATGGTAACAGCAAACAGACAGTTGCTCATGCACAGCCTCTTTGCCTCATCGTGGACCTCGCGCCTCGCCGGGGAGCTCGTCTTCTGGGCGGCCTGCTTGACCGCGCGTTTCCAGCACGGCAGCAGGTAGTTGAGGAGGGGCTTGTCCTCGGGCCAGGCGGAGCAGGCCTCGATGACGGCCTGGTCGAGCGTGGCCGCGGACAGGCGGAGCGGCTCGCCGGCCTGGTTGAGCTCGTCGTTGAGGCCGGGCAGGAAGGTGAGGCGGACGCCCTGCGGGGTGCTCATGTGGTGAGGGTCGACGGAGAGGCGGAAAACGGCGGCCAGGGTGCGGTTCTCGTACTGCTCGTCGGTCTCTACCGCCTGCCCTCCGGTGGTTGGCCTGCGCGGGGGCGGCGCAGCGGCGTTGCCGTCTAAAGAGCCGCCACCCATCTCTTGTAAGCTTCTCTTGCGCGGGGAGGCGTGTGGTGCGGTGGCTGTACCTGGCGAGCCCTTGGCGTCGCCCTGCTTGCCGATCCCGAGCTGCGTGAACGGGTTCGGTCCAGAGCGCGCAGGGGCGGCAGCGGCCGGTGTGATGTTGATTTTCGTCTTGGGAGCCGCCGGGCCGGACGAAGAGTTTGCTGTCGTTGGCTTGGGCGAGGCGGACTGGCCACCGGCGCTGCTGCCACTGCCACCCTCGTTATCAGTCTGCGGTTTCGGCGCTCCTAGCTTCGCGAGCCGACGCGCTCGAATCTACCGGATTGCGGAAGAAGGTTAGTAAATGAATAAGAGGCAAATCAACGAGTGCCAAGGGCACTACCTGATCCAGTTTCTCCTTGTCGGGGGCTTCGTTGCCGCCGTACGGTTGGTCGTTGGGATCCATGCTGACGAGAATTGGAAATCAACGAACAGAGCGAGGCGGGGGAGGCGGGCGGCGGTCAAGAAAGAGGAAAAGAGGAGGAAACAATGGCGACGCTAAATGACGACGGAAAATCAAGGAATGTCCAGAGCGGCCAAGGACAGAGCGGCAAGCTACAGGGCAGCCGGATGATGAAGAAAGCAGAAGTGAGGATTCGGTAGGGTTCGTTCGATGGCCAAAGTGATGCTGGTTGCCGTTTGTGACGTGCTGGAGGGGATAGAGTGGAGCTGTTAGGCGGCGATTCAGTGTTGTCGACTGGTGGTGCTGGCAGTGTCGGGTTTTGAGTGCTGGGCAATTCCATTCAGTTCTACAAATGCTAATGAGATTTAACGCGTATGAATCACGTATTGATAAGGCTCATGTTTGCTGCTGATTTTTGATTTGGCAACCGCACGAGACAGCCAGGGTAATAAGAATCGGGGAAGGATGCAGAAGTAGAAGACCAGTCAGCTTGTTGCAAAGTCCGCACCAAGCCAGTCCGCCCGCGGCGGAGAAAGCAGCTGCCAGGACTAGGCTCCAGAAGCCTCAAAAAATGTGGAAGTACCATTCTTTTGTTTTTTTCAATACATTACTGACTATTTTAATCAACATCAAATCATCATCTTAGATGTTTCTTCGCTAATAGTGAAGCACCTGTGAGAAATGTTTATGCAGTCACCTTCTGTCATATTCTTGGATCTGACTTACTCTATTATGACTTGCTGCTTCAGTATGCCCATCTAGGGTTAAGGTCAGGGTTGAGGCCAGGTCAGGGTCAGGGTCAGGGTCAGGGTTTAGGTTGGGTTACGGTGATATGGACTACTCACCCGCCCAATCTAGCAAGTGATGACGTTATGTATTCCGACGAGCATTTGTTCCAGACATTTATGCGGAAATTCCAGATATGGTATATAATCGTATAGCCCAGCACTCTGCGTCCGGTAATGAACAAGACTCGCCCTTTCAAACTTATACATATGATTATTCGCTTCAAAAACTTCATGGTATGACAGCATTATTACAGTCGTGGCACATCCGCATCCATCCCGGATGACCGCCTCCTCTCCTGCAGCATGACGCCCTCCCCTGCGCTGTTCCTCCGAACGCCCGCCGCCGCTGCCGCTGCCGCAGCTGCTGCACCTGTGTTGTTGGCGGCGCGGATGCGGCCCTCCTCGCGGCTGCGGTTCAGCAGCCAGTTGACGTGCATGCGGATCATGTTGATGTTGTTGCGGAGCTCCGTGACCTCCTCGCGGATCGGCATGACCTGGTTGAGCGTCCACATGCTCTGGCGCGCCTCGAGGTGCGTCAGGTTCTGGTGCACCTCCTCGAAGCCCGCGTCCAGGTCCTGCATGGTGCGGCAGCTGTCGCTGATGGCTGGCTCGCCCGCGCCCGCGCCGGAGGAGCTCGCGGCACCGGCGCCGCTGCCGCTGCTTCCGCCGACACCGAAGCGGCGCCCGCTGACGGACATGTCATCCAGGCGTCGGGTGTTCTCCGCCTGGCGCGCCTGCAGATCGCGCAGCTGGCTGGCCATGTCGCCGTAGGACTGGATGACGTCGCGCTGCGAGCGAATAATGATGCCCGAGGGCGTCTCCGGGTGGAATGCGCAGCAGAGGGTGTGGGTACTGACCTGCCCGCGCATGATGCGCGCCGGGCAGCCGAGGTTCTGGTACGGGCAGCCGACCTCGACGCCGTCGCACTCCAGGTCGCGGTGGGCGTCCATCTGCGACCGCACGACCAAGTCCCAGCACGCCTCGCATCTCGTCTTGCTCTTGAGGCAGGACAGTAGGTGCAGCTCGGAGTCGGCCTCTTCGACCCGCTCCAGGCACGCGGCGCAGGACGTCTCCTTGTGATGGCACAGGTCGTCGGTCGGCTTCGAGGACAGCTTCTTGGTGCAGTCCTTGTCGGGGCAATAGTAGTCCCGGTACCGGCACTCGCTGGACGCGTGCTTCTCGATCATCTCCCGGCGCAGCTCCTTTGTACATCCTCGGTTCGTGTACGGGCACTTGACCACGAGCGCGTTGAGCTGCGTGCGGATGAGCCGGGCGGCGCTGAAGCAGTCCGCCCAGAACAGCGGCTCCCGGTCGATGGGACAGGCCGTTCCCGACGGACTGGAGGATATGCTTCGGCGGATGCAGCGGTAGCAGAACGTATGGTCGCACGGGGTGGTGACGGGATCGACGAGCGGGTCGTGGCAGATAGGGCACAGCAAGTTGGTGTCGGGCTCGGCGACGTAGGACAGCGAGTACATGTCGAAGATGCACTGGCCGCCGTAGCGCTTCGGGATGTCGAGCGAGGATTTGTGCGGCGGGAGGAGCGGCCCCGATCGGCGGTCCGTGTTGATCGTCGAGGCGCTGCCGCCACCGGCCGTCGTCGCACCGCCGCCGGGCATTGATCCGGAGGTGCGGCGGCGCAGGCCCCGCAGCACGCCCCCTTGCCGCATGCGGCCGTGGATCTCGGGGGTGATGTAAAAGGCCTCGGGCGAAGGCGGACGCACGAGGCTGGTGACGAGGTCGGGGGTGGCCGAGGCGCGGCGCAGGTTGCGGCGGGCGAAGCGACGAGCCTCGGCGGGCGTCATGCGCAGACCATCGTCGCTGGAGTCGGAGCCGTAGATAGGGGGCGAGAGCGAGAGGCCGTTACCGGTGCCGGAAACGACGGAGGAGCGGGATATGGGTACGTCAGGGGCCGTGGCGTTGCTTTCGCGTCGCGTCGGGGGTGGCGTGGTGCTCGCCATGACCTGGCGACCTATGACGTTTCTGATGAGGGTTGACGATGGGGGCGGTGTGAGGGGGGGGCCGCGGTGAGGAGCCTAGACATGTGCGAAAAGATATCGAGACGATGATGGATGATGGATGATATAAGAGGGCAAGAATAGAGTGGCTAAAACGATGGCGCGGACAGGAAAAAGGGCGTTTCGTGTAGAGGGAGTAAATGATTCAAGGGGATAAAAGTGTCGAGGCGATGGTGACAGGCTGTTTACATAGATGCTTACCTCATGGGCTTGGCTTCGGCCGTTGTATTTGTTGTGGACGTACGGTACATACATACTGTACATAGGTGCCTTGGTAGGGGGGGCGCACTGTAAATGCGCCACCTGGGGATTCTGTAAAGCCGAGGACAACCACTGATCGCCCGCAGAGAGAGAGGGAGGGGTCCTTCCCCACGGGGCAGGACGGAGTAGACTACGGAGTACATGGTTTGCTAGACATGTAAAGGGCATGTTTGTGATGATTTGAGTCTTGCGTAAAAAAAGACGGAAGAAAGAGACGAGACGTGTAGAAGTAGATGGAAAACAAGTGGTTCTTGGAGGGGTTGGCCATCAGCGGAGTTCACTTGATAGCACAGTGAGGTGCTGGCTGTTCATGGAGTAATAATACACGACCACATTTACTGTTTTGACGGCCCCTAGGACCACCATCTTCTGCATCTTTGCAGCATTCCAAGGTCCCCTATGCAAAGGAGAACAAGAAAGAAACAAGAACAACTCGCTTGCACCACAATGACTGCAGGCAGGTGCTCTATCCTATAATCAAGCGAATATTCTACGAATAAATAGATGAAATAACGATCAACACAGGTTTATGAGTAAATAGATGAAATAAAGATCAACACAGGTTTATGAATAAATAGATGAAAGAAAGATCAACACAGGTTTATTGTAAAGAAGATGGCACTTATCTTATTTTTCTTGTCTCTAATCTTTCTATTGATTTTTGCACCAATCTTGCTCCCTAGGCCCTTGAGCGCGCTAGCATCGCATTTCACATGTCAAATTCAGTTCAGTGTTCAGCATCACCAATCGCACAATGTACATAGTCTATATGGACCATACCCAACCAGAACCGGGCCGTTTTTGATCCTCTCCATGCTTGCAACCCAATTAGAGGGTTGTCCCCCATTTTAACCCATTATATCCGGAGTTTCTTACTCTTCCATTCTTCAGGACCCTTGCCAGCCACCGTCACGCGGGGCGCCGACTTTCACAAGCCAGCCTCGAGTCTGCCCCTCCACGCGACTGCATGCGGGCAAAGGGAGAGGCAAACAAAGCCAACCTAGTCCTTCACTGTTTTTTCTCATCAATCTCATCGGCCCAGAATCTCTGTGATTTGCTCGTTTCGTTTAGAAAGTGTTGAAACATCGTCGATGCTCATCACTGGCCTCGGCGTCATCACAAAAACAACCCTTACCCACGCGCTTATCGACGTGGCTGGTCCTTCATACGTCACAATTCACACGTGGGCAAAACGCCAGCCTGTCTCAGCTTTCGACACATGATGAATTGACTGGAGTGGACTCTACCCTCACATATATACCTGTAACCTGACTCAAATCTGCATATCCGCACTCTCCTCGCCTCATCTTTCTCTACTCGGCTTCACCCGGCGTCCATCGCCGGCATCGCCACCACCGCCACCATGATCGACCACGTCCTGGGCCGGCCGTCGACCAAGTCCCGACGCCTCCAGGTCCTCGCCGTGCTCTCCCTCTGGGGCCTCTACCTCCACCACGGCAGTCACCACGGCCCTCCCGGCGTCCGGCGCCTCTCCCGGCTCCTCAGCGCGCGCCTGACCGCCTGGCAAGTCTTCGTCCTCACCGTCACCTCCCTCTACGCCGCGCGCAACTTCTCCGCGCTCGTCGGCCTCGCCAGCCCGGAGCCCATGGCCAACATGTACGACGCCACCTACTTCCGCGCCACCTGGGTGCTCACAGCCATGGACGCGGGCTTCTGGACCGCCATGCGCATCCGCAACCGCTGGGCGCGCGACCTCGCCAGCGTCGTCTTCTCCGTCTTCTACCTCTTCGCCGCGGAGCGCGCTGACGAGAAGGTCAGAAAGGTCCGCGGGACCATCACCGTGGAGCACATGCGCGTCGCGTGGAACAAGGGCACCACGCCGTACCTGCGCGTGCTGCAGAGCCTGATGCGGCCGCGCTTCACCAAGTGGCCGCCGCGGCAGGTGCGCATCCCGCGGCCGCAGGGCAGCGACTACCGCGAGCCCGTCTCGGCGTGGTTGTACTTTGACGGCCCGCTGGCAGACCTGGCGAGGCACGACCGGGTGGTCCTGGACGTGCCCGGCGGCGGCTTCGTGGCCATGGACCCGCGCTGCAACGACGACAAGCTGTTTGCCTGGGCGGCCAAGTCGGGCCTGCCCGTGCTCAGCCTCGACTACAAGAAGGCGCCCGAGTTTCCGTACCCGTACGCGCTCAATGAGGTGTTTGACGTCTATGCCACGCTGGTCCGCACGCGCGGCCGGTGCATCGGCATGGGCGGGGACGTGGTGCCTCGCATCGTGGTGACGGGCGACAGCGCCGGCGGCAATCTGGTCGTGGCGGCAACGCTCATGATCCTCGAGACGTCATCCGCCGGCGCCACCGGTGCCCCGTTGCCGCCCCCGGACGGCGTCGTCTGCTTCTACCCAGCGCTCGACATGAACATTGGCAACTGGATGACGGACGAGCAGATGTCGCTGATCCGCGACCGCAAGTTCCGCAAGACGAACCGCGCCATCGTGCGCCGCAAGAGCCGGCAGTACACCGACGTGGTCGGCACGCCGTACCACTCCGAGGACGAGGACGAGGCGTCCCCGCGGGACACCTCCGAGTATGCCAGCACCAGCAACACCCCTCCACCGCTGCCGACAGATGGGCTCGAGGCATCGCGGCCCGAGTTCTCACACAGCGGCCCGCAGACGCTCAGCGCAGCCGCGGCAGCGCCGCCGGCCAAGACGACCGCCTCCTCGCACCGCCCGGAGCCGATGAAGACGCGGCTCGCCACGTCGTCGATGATCTCGTACGTCAACGACCGCGTGCTCACGCCCGAGATGATGCGCGCCATGATCATCCTGTACATCGGCGAGCACAACCGTCCCGACTTTGCGCGCGACTACCTGCTCAGCCCCGTGCTCGCGCCCGAGGCGCTGCTCGCGCGCTTCCCCAAGACGTACTTGATGACCGGCGAGCGCGACCCGCTGGTGGACGACACGGTCATCTTTGCCGGTCGTCTGCGGCGGGCCAAAGAAGCGGCTGCGGTTGCGCGTTCCGGGGAGGAGGAGGAGGAGGGGGATGCGGGCCCGGAGGTGGTGCTGATACCGGGCGCGTCGCACGGGTTCATGCAGTTCCCGGGCATATACCCGCCGTCGTGGCGGCACTTTGCGCGCAGCGCGGAGTGGTTCGAGCACCTGTTTGGGGAGGCGGAGGCGGCGAGGCGGAAGAGGCAGCGGGCAAGGACGAGGCGAGCGGAGGCGGAGGAGGCGGATGCACGGAGGAGGATGGCGGCGGAGTCGAGCGGGGATGAGGAGAGGCCGTTGGAGATTGGCATGACGAGGCTGACGAGGGGACGGAGCGGGACGGTGGCGACGCCGGAGGGCAAGAAGGAGGTGAACGGGGGGCAGGGGGACGGGCAAGGGGATGAAGAGGAGGAGGAGGACCAGAGGCCGAGGCGGAGGATGAAGCAGAACAAGAGCTTGCTGAAGCTCAAGAGCACGGATGACTTGCTGGGGCGGCGGATGGCGGGAGTGGCGAGCGGGTTGACAGGGACAGGCGAGGAGGATTGACTGGCAGAGGGGTGATGCTTTTTCTACGTTGTGAGTATACTGTAGTTGTGTGGTTCTTTCATGAGATGTGTTTATGCGATTGACTGCTTCAAGCTGGTCGTATATAGACGAGATGTGGATACGGATGGGTTACTTGGTGATTGCATTGGGATGGCCAGGGCGGTTTACATGTTTGCGGTTGCCTTCTATTTGAGGTCGAGACAAATTTGAACAAGCCAAGAGATTTTTTTTCCCATTGGACCTTTTACTTGGCCACAAAGACAAATCAGCGTCTGTATGCGGCCAAGGTTGCTTACTGTGTACTTGTTGTTGTTGTCGTTGTCGTTGTTGTTGTTGTCGGTAAACCTCGAGGCCCCACTGACCGCTGGGAGAAGCCGGTCTCCATCTTGATCTCAGCGTGCCAGCCTCCAGGATGGCCACCATTGTACCTATGTATGTACATACATATGTACATACCTAGCGTAGCCGTCTGATCCGAGGAGGCGCAAGGCATGGCGTGGTCAGAGGCAGGGATGTGGATGCGGCGGCTCTCTTGGAGGCCTCGGCTGGGCATGGCATGTACGATGCTTGCACAGTGAAACAAGTTCCTTGAGATCAAGTATAAATAATTCAAGATAAATGAAGCTCCTTTAGAAGGAACTCTCCACAGAGCTCTGGCGAAGCGGCAACTTCTTGGCGATGAAGCTCTGACATGACGAACCCCCGCCTACTGTATGTAGGATAGCTGATAGCTCCAGACGCCCACTTTCCTAGTTCAGTACTAAGCTTGACCAGTTCCACAGGTACAGTACATACGCTAACTTACTACTACATCCCGTCGCCAGAGTTTTGAACATCCCTGCAAGACCTCGATTGGCTCCCTGGACGTGGAGAGCTTGATGAATTCATCAGTGGATCCCTCCGAGATGCCCGGTTCCCGTATGGTGGCGGTGTCCCGTTGAGCCAGCCCAGGTGCATCAATCCGGCCCGTGGCTAACACGGCCACACCTGCTACCTGCTACCTGCTAACAACCTGCTATCTGCTAACAACCTGCTACCTGCCAACAACCTGCTACCTGCTAGCAACCTGCTACCCCTCCCCCTCACCACTTAAAGTTTACCACCTCCCCCAAGCTCTCTTTCCCTCCCCTCTCTCCTCTCTCTCTCTTCCCCTCCATCTCCCTCATCTCTTCCTCCTTCTTTCAGTTCCTTCATAACCCAATTCGTACCATCACCCGTCAATCACCATGGTCCATCTCACCCGCGTCCAGACCGGCCTCGCCGGCGCCAAACCGCCCAAGCCCGTCGACAACAAGGCCGACCCCAAGGCTGCCTCCGCGACGGCCGAGAACCTCCACCACTCGGCCTCGCAGCTGCGCCTCGCCGAGTACAACGACGAGTTCACCACCTCCGTCTACGGCTCCCGCTTCGCCCGCGAGGATCTGCCCAAGGACTCCATGCCCGAGGGCGAGATGCCCAAGGAGGTTGCCTACCAGATGATCAAGGACCAGCTGAGCCTTGATGGAAACCCCAAGCTCAAGTACACCAAGTACACACATACACACACACTCACACACTCTCTCTCTCTCTCTCTCTCTCTCTCCCCTCCCTCACTCCAGGAATCTAGCTAACACCAACTTTCAGTCTTGCTTCCTTTGTCTCGACCTACATGGTGAGCCCATTCTTCCTTCGCCCTCCCCCATCCCTCATCATCACTCTAGACGCAATGCTCACCTTTGTCCTCGCACAGGAACAAGAAGCCCTTAATCTCATGGCTGACGCCTTCCCCACCAACTTCATCGACTACGAGGAGTACCCTTACACCGCCGACATCCAGAACCGCTGCGTCAGCATGATCGCCAACCTCTTTCACGCCCCCGCCGACGGCGACGCCATCGGCACCTCCACCGTCGGCTCCTCCGAGGCCATCATGCTCGCCGTACTCGCCATGAAGCGCCGCTGGAAGCAAGCCCGCCAGGCCGCCGGCAAGCCCACCGAGCACCCCAACATCATCATGTCCTCGGCCGTTCAGGTCTGCTGGGAGAAGGCCGCCCGCTACTTTGAGATTGACGAAAAGTACGTCGACTGCACCCGCGAGCGCTTCGTCATCGACCCCGAGGCGGCCGTCGCCCTGGTCGACGAGAACACCATCGGCATCGTCTCCATCCTCGGCACCACCTACACCGGCCACTACGAGGACACAAAGGCCATCAACGACCTGCTCGTCAAGAAGAACATTGACTGTCCCATCCACGTCGATGCTGCCTCTGGTGGCTTCGTCGCGCCCTTTGTCGTTCCGGATCTCGAATGGGACTTCCGCCTTCCCAAGGTCGTCTCCATCAACGTCTCCGGCCACAAGGTACGTTCTCTCTCTCCATTCTCAACACTTGCACGCTTTTGCTTTGGAACCCGCTCGCTGAACCACACCACAGTACGGACTCGTCCACCCCGGCGTCGGCTGGGCCGTCTGGCGCTCCTGCGAGCACCTCCCCAAGGATCTCATCTTCAACATCAACTACCTCGGCGCCGAGCAGTCCTCCTTCACCCTCAACTTCTCCAAGGGCGCCTCCCAGGTTATCGGCCAGTACTACCAACTCATCCGCCTCGGCAAGCACGGCTACCGCGCCATCATGAGCAACCTCGTCCGCACCGCCGACCACCTCTCGGCGCGCCTGCAGGAACTCGGCTTCGTCATCATGTCCGAGACCTCCGGCGGCGGCCTGCCCCTCGTCGCCTTCCGCTTCCCCGAGGGTGCCGAACCGCACGCCGTCGCGGACCGCGCCTACGACGAGTTCGCCCTCGCCGCTCACCTCCGCGCCCGCGGCTGGATAGTACCCGCCTACACCATGGCGCCCAAGACGGAAGGCCTCAAGATGCTGCGCGTCGTCTGCCGCGAGGACTTTTCCCGCAGTCGCGCCGACGACCTCATTGCTGACGTCAAGCTGTGCCTCGGCGTCCTGGCCTCGTCGGACAAGGAGACCCTCGAGCGCGCCAAGAAGTACGTCCTCCAGCACGTCACGGCCCACGGCAAGCGCAGCCACAAGCACACCGCGCACGCGTACAAGGACGAGAAGCACTCGCTCCAGGGCAAGTCGGGCAAGACACACGCCATTTGTTAAAATGGTTTTGGTTGGACAAGAGGATGACGATGCGGAAAGAATGCAAAATGTGTAAATGAAGCGAAATAGTCAATATATACCAAAATTGTGCAAATAAAACGCCCATTGTCTATCAAGTCGGCCCCGCTCTCTGTTTCAACCCGTGTCCGGCTCTGCCTTAGTTCCTCGTCGCGGCAATAGCCTCCTCGAGGATACCCAGGCCGACGCCAATCTCCTCCTCGGAGATCTTGAGGCTCGGCACGAAGCGCAGCGTGTTAGTTCCCGCGGTGATGACCAGCAGGCCCCTCTCACGCGCGGCCCCGACAACCGGGGCCGGGTCCTCGGTCATCTGCAGCCCGAGGATGAGCCCCCTTCCGCGGACCTCTCTGACGAGGTCCGGGAAGCGCTCCCGGATGCGCGCAAGACCCGCGCGGAATAGCTCCGACTTGGCGCGGACGTCGGCCTGCAGCGCCGGGTCGGCCAGCTTGGTGACCATGTGGTGGGCGAGGCGGCAGGCGAGCGGGTTGCCGCCAAAGGTGGTGCCGTGGTCGCCGACGGCGATCTTGTCGGCGACGCGCTCGTTGACGAGCACGGCGCCGACGGGGAACCCGTTGCCGAGCGCCTTGGCGGTCGAGAGGATGTCCGGGTGGGCTTCGGGGGGCAGGTGGGCGTGCGCCCAGAGGTGGCCGGTGCGGCCGAGGCCGCACTGGATCTCGTCGTGCACGAGCACGGCGCCGACCTGCCGGGCGCGGCGGGCGAGGGCGACCAGGAACTCGTCGCTGGCGGTGCGCACGCCGCCCTCGCCCTGGATGGGCTCCACGATGACGGCGCACGTGTTCTCGGTGACGAGCGCGTCCAGGCCGGCGACGTCGTTGTAGGTGCCCTGGCGGAAACCGGGGACCATGGGCGCGAACGGCCGCTGGTACTTGGGGTTGTGCGTGGCGGAGAGCGCGCCCATGGTGCGCCCGTGGAACGCGCCGTCGAAGGAGACGACCTCGGTCTTGCCACCGGACGGGTCGACCACCTTGCCGACCTTGCGCGCGAACTTGAGCGCCGCCTCGTTGGCCTCGGAGCCGGAGTTGCACACGAAGACGCGCGCCGCGTCGTGCATCCCGCCCGACTCCTTGGTCTTGTCCACCAGCAGCTTGGACAGCGCGCCGGTCCACGGGTTGTAGTAGAGGTTCGAGGCGTGGACGAGGGTCCGCGCCTGCTCGGTCAGGATCGCGGTGAACTCTGGGTCGCAGTGGCCGAGCGCGGTGACGGCGATGCCGGCGGTGAGGTCGAGGTACTTGCGGTCGGCGGCGTCCCACAGCCAGGAGCCGGCGCCGCGGACGAAGACGGGCGGAGGCCGGGCGTACGTGGCCACCATGTAGGGCGCGTGCTTGGCGACGAGCGCGGCGCTGGGGGAGTCGGCGGCGGGATCGGGGTTGGGGACCTGCACGTCGTGATGTTAGCGGATGACGTTACAGGCATGGAACAGCGTAGGCATGCAGGGCGATGCCGTGGCTTGAGCGAAGCGAAGGCCCTGAAAACGTACGTTGGACTGGGTTGGCGCCGACGGGTTGAGGCTATCGCCGAGACCGGCGGTCGCATATCCGCGGGCGATAACGGGCGTGGCAGGACGACGTGTCAAGGAACGCAGGGCGGCGGCAGAGTGCCTGGACAAGGCCAATCGAGACGCCATGGTTTCGATGAACTGATTTCCCCGGGATTGCTTCGAGTGGGAAGTGTAAAGGGGAAAGGCAGTCGAGGGAAAGTGACTCAAGATAAATACCGGGAGGGGATCGAGCGGACGAGGTGGGCCTCCGGCACCTTTTTTATTTTTGGCAGGTGCACGCACATGGTTTATCGATTAGTGTGCGCCCTGCGAGTCCAACATGGGCCGATATTTGACTCATCAAAGCGTTCGTTGTATTGGGAAATATTACGGATAGTCAAATAATATGTTAGTAGATCATTCTTAGAATTGACATTGCTGCCGAGCCTTGTAAGCTGGTCACCGAATGCTGTGTTGCCAGCTCTGATTTACTCCTGTGTATATGCCTCATTTTGTAGTTCTTCGATTTATAAAGAAAGCTGGCTCCTCAAGCGACAACACGAATTGCGAAAGGAACATGTTACCGGCATTTTCTAATTTTGCTATTATTTTCTACCAGTAACTAGCAGAAATACTCCAGCATTAAGCACAGCCCCCCGTGATTCCGTCTCTAAGCGCTTACATACCGCCTTTGCTGGAAAACATCTCAAACTGTGCTTCAAACCAGCTACATGCACGCTGATCCTCCTCACTCCGCCATGTACACCACTTTCCGCTTCTTCGTCGACGCTTCCTTCGGGGTCGGGCTCTCAAAAGTGTCGTTCAGCCTCTCCAGCGTATACCTCGGTCCCGACGCCGTAAAGGTACGAAATCGCCAGCTGCACAAAACCCCATACCGCAAAGACAATGCATATCCAGTAGCCAATCCTCTCCAGCGCGACCGGCGTCGCCAACTGATTGCCCAGTCCGGCCACCTTGACGCCCAAGCTCTGGACCGCGACGCCCTTGCCGCGCTGCTCGTACGCAACACCTCGGCGGCGTAGACGCCCTGCAGCGGCGTGATGGCGACGCAGTAGATAAAGTAGAAGGGGATGTCGGCGCCAGGAGCGCTAACAGATAAAAGGGGCCCGTGGACTTTCCTAACAGAGAGCCGGGGCAATGTGGCTGCGGGCAGCCGCAGGGCTGGTTGGTATGAAAGTGCTGCTATCGAGCGCTAGAATGAAAGACCAATACAAACCATTGGTCTGATTTCAGCGGCGGAGATTGCAACAGCAACGAGAAACACGTCACCTCGACCGGCGGCTGTATGCTGAGCCGGTCCAGCGACTACCTAATGTGTGGCCTGCACAGAGCAGCTTCCTTGATGGCCCGCACTTTTCATATGCCCTCGAGGCTGCCCAAGCCATTCCACCCACGCAGTCTATCCTCCATCGCGCTGCTCAATGCTTCACCAAGTTCGGAGGCTTGGAATGAAATACGTGCCACGTTTCATTGCGGCTGCCCAATGTCCCGTAGAAAGACGGACCCAAATCCTCTGCCGACAGCATGATCCAGTCCTCCGGGTCGTACTCCTCGCCCTCGTGCTCCATCTCTCGTCTGTACTCCTCCTCCTGGGCCGCACGCCTCGGGTCCTTGTCATAGTCCAGCCCTTGCACGCAGCGCACCAGGTTGACCCAGCCCGAGCTCCAGGCGTCCGTGTCGTCGCCGTCGAACACGCTGCGCAGCGACGCCTCGTCGACCTGCACAAAGTAGCTGTGACGCGCCGACTTCGCCGAGGACCCCGCCGGAGGAGGACCAGGCGACGTGTCCCCAGCGACCCAGGCGCGGAAGCGCTCGCGCAGCGCGTCCCGCGAGGCGCCCCTGAGGGCCCGGTCGGACACGAATTTCCAGTCGACACCATCAACGACGCTAGACGCTGCCGGCGCCAGCTTGCACGGGGACGCGAGGTCGTCGCGGGTCTGCTGCGCGACGCGCTCCTTGAAGCGCTCCCAGGCCGCGTCGTCCCCGTAGGTGCACCGGTAGATTACCCATCCCCATTTTCTGACGTTGAAGAACTCGAGCTCGTCGGCCAGTAACTGTACGCCTGTCGGGGAGTCGTTCGAGGACGGCGTGGAGCGCCGTTGTCGGGGGGGAAGCGAGGCACCGTGCGGTGAGATTGGTGGCTTGGACGCGGCCCCTCGTATTGAAGTGAGACTTGGTCGACGACCAGGAAACGATGACGCGGCGACAGGTCCTGCCCTGGAGAGCAGGCGCTGGCGCGCGAGAACAATCATGCTGGTGTAAAAGAGGGCATATAGATGGCGGAGAAGAAGGCGTTGTGCTGTGGTCGTAGGGCGGGGGGATGCTGCAGGCGCTTATTATGCAAACGAAATTGAGCATGGGGTGATGTTTCTTGGTGTCTTGGCGTAAACTTGGACTTCTGGAAGTCGTTTGCAGATTGCGTAAGATTGATTTGTCGACTTTGATAATAATCGCAGAGAAATAATTGCAGCCGGTGGGAAACCTGGTGAAGGCGCTCACGAGCCAGGCCCCCCCTCTGGTCGTTGTTTGCCCGCCGAAGAGGTGCACGTAAACAGCTTTATATACACTGAAATAAGAGGTCATTCGGATGCGCAGTCGAAATCAAAAGTTGTAAAATAGCCACGAATCAGCAATGAGTATATGCTTGTCTCCGCACTGGCCATCATCCTACCAGCAACCGCAAAGTAGCCGCGCCATAACAACACCGTGGATACAACGATGCCTCCGAACACACTACTCACATTCGTAATTCTAGATGCCTTCAATTGATTAGGAAATGCGCTTTAAAGTCTTGAAGGATGCTCTCTATTAACTTGCGAAAAATAAAATAAAAAGGCGCGCGTTGTTGCCTTGCCTTGTCTTAGTCCGTATGCCAGGCTTCGTTGCGTCAATGTGAATGAAGCGGACAAATACTATTCTTGGTCAGGGTACAGGAATAACCAAAACTAGAGAAAAAAGAAAACGTCCCGTATCTCTTTCCAATTAACCCTAGCATAAAAGGATACCGCTTGTAGACAAAGCACCTGGGCAGTATTCGGCTGAGTCTGGCTACCCTGGAATGGTCGAGGCAAGTGACCTTCTCCTTGGTACACTCAGCCTTGTACACACCTATGTACATAGCTTCTAGGGTTGCCCAGGATAAACCAGTGGGAGCAACAGTCGGCCAAACGTCGTGCAGGGTAACTTGCAAAGAGTGTGCATCCCTTTGGATGCCGTAGGGCTCCAGGACGGTCACTGACAAGGATACGAACCAATCGTAGGCCTATGTCTTGTAGGTACTTACTTTTTCGTGGCATATCCTAGTAGAGTGATGTACTATTTCTATCTAAGCACAGTTAAGTACATTAAGATTCAAGTAATAATCCCTGTTTGAATGTAGCTAGAATGTACGTCCTTGTCAGTGGATAGAAATACCTCCTGGAGGCTTACGCCATCCAAAGTGATTCAAGCAAGACCCCTGTAACACTGCGGTGCGCTAAAACCAACGAGACATGTGTCAAGACGGAATCTGAGAAAAAAGAGACGTGTCAGTCGCTTCAACGGCACTTGTTTCAAGCCTAACGCAAGACAATGAATGACGTTGGCGCCGTTCCTTCTTCCTTGGCGTCCGTACCAGTTCATCAACTGCGGAAGGATCGGGGAGCGGGGACAGAAAGAGTGGAAGGAGGCTTGGAGGGCCCGAGGCTGGCTGGTGCAAGATAATCCCCAGTTTTCCAGGCAGCAAAACACCACAACTGAAGAGGTAACCTTGTCGTGCTGAAAGGGACCGGAAAGAAGTAGACGGGAAAGGAGGCGTCGACGGCCAGTGAAGAGGAACACGAGGGCGGGGGAGAAATGGGACGGACGGAAAAAAGTGGCGGTTGTTAATTTCGATAGACGAAACTCTATTCCGGAGGCGCTTGGCGATACCGTGGTGGGCAGGAGTTGGGAGTGTAGCTAGAATGCGATATGTTCGTTGTAAATTCGATGAATCCAATAGGGGAAGAGTAGAATCTCGACAATGACAAATTGTCATGGATATCGTATGGCCTCCTCCCAATACCCGGAGGTGAACCTGCGCCACCCAATGAATGTTCCCTGCCTGTGCCCTACACTAGCGGCCCTCTGGAGCACTGTCGGCCAGCCCCTGTGAGGGTGCTACATAGGTACATAGGTAAAGTTCTACAGTTTGTACTAGAGGTAGTTAGGACATTGACATAGAGAGGTGAGTGATGATGAACTTGAAGGATTCAATAACAAGGCTTAATTACAGTAAGCGGGCACTCGACCCTCGAGGAGCAAAGTCAAGCGCCAGATTGGCGAAAAATCGATTCACGGCACTAATTTCCTCGAATAAAGTGAGCCTAGTTTTTCACCTTGCAGCAAAAAGTCTGCTCGTCTTCTTCACCTCTCAAAACACGTCCTCTTCTTGTTCCGCATCCAACACATCCAACACATCCAACACATCCAACACATCCAACACATCCCGTCACGTTTTCCCGTCGTTCATCGTGAAATCAGAAAAATTCCAAGTCTATTCCAAGTCCCCGTAAAATGTCGGCCTGCCGCTGCCCAGGAACATCTCGCACTCCACCCTGAACACGCCCGCTGAGTTGAGGCAGGCCAAACGCATCTACGAAGCTCAATCGCGTCCTGAGGAGATACAGCGCTTTTTTTTTTGGATCTTTTCAGAAGTCTACATGCGGCGTTGTAGACCCCGAAATCCCCCAGCACCTGAAAACTATCCCTGAAAACTATCCCTGAAAACATCGATCTTATTGGGGACTTGAGTCCGTTTGCTTCACCCTTTTTCATACACGGACGCGTCCCAAACACAGACTCTGACGAGTTTACCGTAGCTGGTACGGTTGCGTCGAACAAGCTAGAAGAGGAACTGCCCTCCCACTCAACCACTGTACCAGCAGATGCGACTCGGCGCGGGGTCAGTCGTGCTCGAGGCAGACGAATTCGACGTCATCTTCGTCGACTGACTTCCACCTTGAACCGAGTTCGAGCAACTTCCATCTCTATGGCTGCCAAATCTACCAACACAACGCCCAAGCACGAGCAAGGTCCCACAACCTTTCAAGCGCCCAAGCCTCGTAGTCAATATCAAGCCGAGAATGTGAGTCGAGTACCCAGCACGTTTCAAAGCCATTTGCGCTAACCACCAGTATGTAGGCCAAAAGGCGTGATGGAAACATGGAAATCCTCACAAACAACATGACTGGTATCGACGCAGCACACATCCTGCCCTATGGCATGACTTCGACTAGCGACGGTGCTAGGTGACTCAATATCCTTGTCCCTATGCTGGGTGTAATGTTCGGGGCGCGTTTCTCCGACAGACTTCGTGTTCTTATAGAATCCGAGGAGCTTCCTTCGTCGACCTGGAACCTTCTGACCCCCAACTGCTACGTGCACCGACCTTACGACAAGGGCCTGATTGCCTTTCGCCCTGAGCGCATCACCAAGATGATCAAGGACTCCGAGGAGATTTTTCATGTTCATCTCTCTATTCACTGGCTGGGGGAAAACTGTCATCAGATGCTGCGAGTCTGCCAAGCCCACCGAGAGCCAAATGCAGGGCATGTTCACATTGCTGGACGAGTATCGAGAAAAAGAGGCAACATTGGGACATTTACGATGTACACCAAGGGTCAGCGTGTCGCTGATGGTACGGAGACAGAGATTGGGTTTCCCGACCTTGACGATGCTCAGAAAATGGTTGACCGTCTTGCTATGAGCTGGTTCATGAGGATGATCCTGTTTCTTGCTGGCGGCGCGGGGATCCCGTTCGGCGACCCCCGCGACAACGAAGAGCAACACGACCCCCGATCGTGATCGTCTGCCTGTGGAGACTGAGAACTAGCTGGCAATCCTCAACGAGTACCTGCAGAAGTCCGACCATCGCGTCGCTGATCTGGGTCGTTACCGGGCAGGAAGCGACACGATTCATCCTAGAAAAAAGTAAACCGAGAAATGAAGAAGGTTCCAGGGAGAGTAAGGACAGCAAGGATAGTAAGGACGGCAAGGATAGTAAGGACAGTCCCGTAGGAATAGTAGGGACCGTAGGGATAGTAGCGACAGTAGGGACAGTAAGGACAGCAGGGATAGTTGAGACAGTAAGGATAGTAGGCATAGTAGGTATGCGTAATATTTCTAACGCGTTACTTTATTGTCAAGTTTTATTATAAAGATTTCAGTTAGTCCGTAAGTTCTAACCTACTGGCACTACCTCCTGTCGAGTAGGTTCGAATACAAAAACTCTAGCACCCTGAGCAAATCTTTCGCAGCCTAATCCCGTCTAATGACATGAATCTAAGAAGCTTAAAAAAAAAGGGAAAAAACAACAAAGCTTCCATGACGTCGACGGCATGCGAGTGTTTTGGAGGAAAGCGAGTTTGGGCGGAGTTAGTAGCAATGTCCACAGTCAATATAGAACAATTGCTCGTAAGCATGACTATTTGTCATTGCGAGGTCAAACTCGATTGAACATAGCTTTTGCGAACATTGACCTTGATCAACATATGGCTTTCGCTAATTAATCGTAACAATGCCCGATCTGATCCACGATATGTACGATAAATGAGCACACCCACCTATCTGCCGTCAAACGGCTCAGTCAGGTTTCGTGGACACCCTGACTACCTGGCCATCCCCCGCGATCTTCATGCGCCCTACGGTGAGTTTCCGCGCTCATCGTTCATCCTATCGCGACCTGTTTCGGATTGTCACTCCAAGACATGGCTGGCCTCGAGTCTGATCCACTCACTTACACGCGCCCCAATCGAACGTTGAAGGCGGTGCAACGGCGAAAGCTGGCAAGTATTGCCGGCTAATTTGCATACTCTCATGGCTAAAATTGCTTTCAGATGGGCTAAATGGCAAAGGCCTCGGTGTTGCTCGTGTCGCGACGTTGCTTTTGTAGACGAGTGTCTCGGCTTTAATCAGCCCGAACTTGCTGTACTCAGCAGCCGCTGATCTCTCGACGGTTCGCCATCGCGCCGTCTTCTTGGATTGTCAGTGGCCTCTGTCTCAACCTTACAAACTCTGATGGCGCGGTGACTTCTGTGCAGCGGGTTTCCTGCCTCATACTACCCACACAAACCAAGCCTTCCCACAGCCTTCTTGCACGCCAACAAGAGTGTAATTTGTCGATGTACGAATTTATCGTAACGAGGCACCGTGATTAAAACTTGCTTGAATTCTCTGCCGATGGGTTACGTGGCCGGTGCGACAACTCATGCGCCAGGGTATTGCCCAGTCGGCAGAGTCACTGCTTCGTCGACACCTCTAGGTTGCCAGTCCAGAAAAAGTGTGGCGCGCCGAGTGGAGCGCTCAAAGCGACATCTCTTCTCTCGCGCTTTAGATTATCGTACTGGAAGCGTGCCGTGGCGCGGTGCCTCTTGAGAGCGGCGAGAACATCTCCCATTCCAGCCACGTCCTCAAGTGCGGGGGGAACTAGCTCGCCAGGCGGCATTATGGCTGTGCGCCACGCCGTGTGGAAAATCAAGGATCTTTCAGGAACTCCTGCATGAACCTGGCATGGAGAAGCCGGCCCAACACCGTCGCGCAGGCTGCCATAGTTCAGCACTAGCTGGCGGTACTCGTTGATGATGGGGTTCTTGTGTGGTTGCACTGGGCCAGCCCACACCCGCAACTCGAGGCCACAACCATTCCACTCGTCTTGGTGCGTAATGAACTCTTCATTGTCTCGGACGCTCTTTTCCAATCCTAAAGTTCGCACCCCACTAGCATCCGTAGCACTCCCGCCGTCAGAGCCTGGGCAACGGCCACTGCGAGAATTCGCGTTCAGAGATGGACGCGTAGAGTGATAGCTCTCGTCCTCGAAGAAGCTGAACCCCCTCTCCCCGCTGATCATGAGCTGTTCAGCATCCACATCCTCGGCGGCAGCGATGTCTTCACCCAGAGTATCGGGCTCGAACTCCAATCGGAGTTGTCTCAGGCCTTTCAGCATACCTGGCCGACGCCGCGATGATGTTTGGCTAGAGTGACTCATGTCTGAAATGCTTCGCTCTTGAACGGACAGCTGTTTGAGAAAATGCAGAAGCCGCTCAATGAGTGGCCCAGATGATCGTCGTGGTACACATGTCAATGTTAGTGAGAAAAGTCGGGTATTCATGTCTGGCACAAATCGCTGGGGGTATGCTTTGTCGATTCGAAATAGAATGGATGTCTCGGCCAGATACAGCCTCGCCAAGGAGGACAATCCATCGGCAGTTAGGGTCGGAATATTGGTGACGAGCGAGTGGTGTATGCGTAACGACCGTAAATTAGACGAGTATACTGGTCGGAATACATGGGCGAGTCCTACAATTCCATGGAGCATCGTGCAACTGGGCCAAAAGTCTAGAGCTGGGCTGCGAGGTGGTATGATAGGCATAGAGTCGCATGCAAAGTGCTCCATTTGTCCGTTGGATGTCCGAAGCAGCCTCTCAACGCCACTGGCGGAGATTTGATTGCACGAAACATCTAAATGGGTAATGCCTCTTGAATTACGAAACGTGTCTTCAATGTCATATTCTGTAGACTGATGCGATAAGATGCGAGTTGCTTCGTCCACGGAATCCGTGCGTAAAGGGCTTCGTCCATCGGAGCGAAAGATCTGGCGTTGGCCATATAAGAAGTAGGGCTGGGCATCATATGTGGGAGCGTCCGAGTAATACCGCTCTGGGCTACTGAAGCGGCCGCTATATTGGGATTCCTCGATAAAGTCGAATCGACCATAGGAGGCAGTGCCCTCACCACGAACCGATAGCTTGCCCTCCGTCTGGAAGTGGACGGGCGACCGCAGAGCTGAGTGGGGGAAGCATCTGTCCACCAAGGTCTGCAGAATAGAATCCGTGAGCCTATTGTGGCTCAGATTCAGGCTCCAAAGTCGTAATTTATATAGTTCAGCCAGGCCGATGAAGGTGGCGTCATCAAGTTCACGTCCGGAGAGCTTCAAAATTCGCAGATCAGGAAGAAGCGAGGGCTGAAGCAGCGGCGCGATCGAACCCGGCAGATTGGATACATCAAGGTAGACAAGCTTCTGTAAGGAGGGCGATGTAAAAAAAGTACCAGGGAGTTGTGCGGAGCAATGGGAGATGCTGAGAAGCAAGGGAGAGGAATGCGACTTTGTGAGGCTGACGAGAGAATTTGGATCAATCTCTGTGTGGCGGTCAAGTAAAAGGACATTTACTTGAGGCAAAAGCTTCAACGTCATGTGCAGACTGCGAAGAAAACGGCCGTTTTGGTCGGTAGCAAACTCGTAGCACTCCTTTGCGAAGTCGCGAAGGTCAAGGATGCGAGCCAGGCGGCGGGTGGAGGGCCGGACATCGCCAAGTTTAACGAACGTGAACTCGAACCACCACAGTAGATCTGCGAAGACGACATTAGTTTGAGCATAATGGAGCAGGAAAGCTGCTACTTCCAGGTGCTTGGTATGATAACTAACCATCACCGGGTAGTAGGCCGCGTCGGCGAACGGTGGCTAGAACGTCAACCCACAAGTGAGGTGCAAACACCTTCCAGAAATGGCGGTTCACCAGACAGAGAGCATGAAAGTCGGCTTCATGTATGTATGGAGCAGCAACTTGTAGCCAGTCAGCGAGGGTGACGGCTTCCTGGTACGACGGCAGCGATGCCATGCTATGCTATGCGGCAGGGTTCATCGAGCGACGCGCGATCTGGACTCTAACGAGTTAAGATGATGCAGCCTGGACTGATACCCGAGTGGAGCCCGTTCCAGCAGAAAATCGTTCGAGTTTTCGGAACTTGGCTACGGGTGTCGTACCAATGGCACGCAGTCCGGTTTTTCCAAGGTGAAGGCGATTAGTAGTGGGTGGCGAGCTCAGTCGTTCATTCCAAGCCAGCGTGGGGGAAAGATGAGGCAAGAAGGTACCAGGCAAAATGAAGCCAGTTGGCAGAAGGAAGAAAGCACCAGGCTGGACGGTAAGCGGATGAAAAAGAAACGCTGGCGGCCAAGTGCGCTCCGTCGACGTGCAGTAGTCGGGCGGCTGGAGGTAGAGGTCAAAGCGAGAACTGGTCGAAGCCGAGTTCTTTGATTGGCAGGAGAGTGGGCGTGTGAGCGAAGAAGGCCGGATGATAATCTGAGAACTGACTTCAGATCAAATTCTCAGGCTGATGTAACCACAACTCGCAAGAAAGTGTCATGCAAGTATCACGACGCTGATGCGAGTTTTGAGATGGCAAGGTGGACGAAAATAGCAGTGAGACTTGCGTGAGGGCGGCGGCTGGTGAACGCTAATGCTGCACAGTCAAGGAGCTGATTCGAGGCTGAAATGGTGACCTGAGCGGGACTATTGGATTGATTGAGGAGGAAGGCAGTGCTTGGATGAACGGGCCAAAGTATGTTGGACAAACATGATGCTGGTGATTAAGCAAACGGCGGGGAGAGAGGGCATGAGACCAGCCAAAATCCGCGGGGCAAGTCAGTTGCCAGCTGCTAATTTGCCAGCTTGTCTGAGAGGAACATGTGGTTCGGTGGCGAAGGCCTCCTAAAATAAGTACCTACGCCCCGCGCCACAAACGACGGCATGCCTGTGGAGGCTCTCCACAAGCCGCCTTCCCAGCCGCCTTGGCTACGCCACACTCAACATTGGCTGTGTGGCACTCGTTGCCTCATTTTACTACTGGTGTGATCTATCATTCAAATGAGGCCCGCCTGCCAAAGTTCACCTTTACATATGCGATGTCAAACTATGTTTCCATCAATATCCCGGTAGCGGATCTCATTGTGCTATGGCTATTTCGATACAATCCACAGGCGAGAAAAGAGACGCCTAGCAGGGTGCTGCATCAGCTACCTCGGTGCACTTCGCCCGGCGGGGGGGGGGATTATTGTTCTAGAATATGACTTGTCGAGTGAGATGATGGAAGCAAAGATGGAAGAAAGATTTGTTGGCACGAGGAAGCGACAAGCCGTAAGAATGGATCCGCGGTAAATTATAAACGTCCATGCGGAGATCACCTCTGCAGATATTAACGACGCGACCTGCAGTATTCCGCTCTGCAAGGTACTGCACAGATTTGATACTTGCATCATACTGATAGAGTCATCAATTACTGTTCGGGATGATGCGCAGCTGACCTCTCTCACCTGCAGCATCTGAAAATGGCCATGCATGTCTATCTTGCCCATCACAGGGAACCCCCGGCTTGCAGCGCGGTGCCCGGCACCCCTGCCCAGCAGAAAAAGCAAGAAAAAGCTGTACACATCGCGGAACAAAGGCTCGCCCGAGGCTGCATGCACCGGATCGGAAAATGGACAAGGAGAGTGTCGAACTCGGCTCATACCCGTGGAAAGCTGCCTTTTTCGAGTATCCCTATCGCTAATTCGATGCCGAGCCCCTAGGCCCTGCTGCCGAGAAAAATGAAGAGACGAAGCGGCCATCCCAACATCGACAGGCAACTTCAATTGGATGCACACAACCAACATTTTACGGTGGCCTTGGCCCTTGGCGCAGGTGGCAATGCCATTTGGTGACATTCTCGGGCCAGTCTCACCCAGCGAATCGTGACATTCTTACACATCCTTTTTTGTTTTCGCTCGACCTACCGAGTCATGCTCTGCCCGCCATTGGGGCAAGAAAATAAAAACAATAGAGTCGCGATTCTCAGCGCAAGTGCGTTTTGATAAAACGTTACATGATGTCGATAATCGCAATGCGCCCGATATGTGGTGAATCTACTGTTTGTAATTATAGAAGCTTGTCGTTATTTATGATGTGTAACAAAAACAGCCTCGTCCGAGCTCAAAGTGGCAGCTCTCGAGTCATTGACCAAAGGCAATTGATACTGGCGAATTACGACAACGAGAAAACAAGGAAAACTATTATTTGCCCTTTTCAGTATTTCTTGCATTTGCATGCAGTCTGCAGATGCGCAAGTCCCCCCCCCCCCCCCCCCAGAAGTGGACAGGCTGCCAACCATGTCTTGAGCGCAACTCTCGATTTGCGCCTGTACGACTAGATGGAATAATCTAGGCCGTCACACAAGAGTCGACGAGAAAACATGGTCACTCACCCCCAGCCAGGCACGTTACACTTGTCTCCTTTCTTGTTCGGCTGTCGGGCGTCGCCCTTCACAACACGACCAGCAAGCTTCGGGGTGGAGTACATAGAGTTGTAGTCGCCGACCACGTACGTCAAGACAAAGTGACGATTTCAAAATGGCCAGACTGATTGATTATAGATCGTCGCTGTTAGCGATTGCTGTCGAGGCGCGCGCTGGTTAGGGAGCCCGGCCAGTGCGGAATTACATGTGAAACAAGCGACAACGACGCATAATCTTCCGATCTTCCAAGGACAAAAAAAAAAAAAAAAAAAAAAAAAAAAAAAAAAAAAAAAAAAAAAAGAGTGCTTGCGGGTGGCTACGAATGGATCGCCAGACTGCCAATCCGCCATGATCCAAAACATGGCAAAACTGGAGAGACCCATCCACACCTGTGTGTGGACTTTGCCGTGCGCTCTACTTCCCCAGCCGTTTCGTTTTGTGGTGGCTTTCTCGGCGGGGGCAAATCGAAAAACCTGGCCATATTTTTATTCCAATTTTGTTTTTAGTTTCATTGCTTTTCTCCTCTCTTTTTTTTTTTTTTTTTTTTCTAATTTGGCGCCAATGAGGGAGCACCAAAAAAGAAAAGTGGCCTGTCAGTCAGTTGCTTTAGGTGACTGCAGCATGGTTCAAGACAAGCGAAAGCCTCCCCCACTAACACGCCATTATGGAAGAAAAGAAAAGCAAAAAATAGATGAATGGAGGCAAGTATAAAATCCAGCAAGCCGTAGCGAGTACAAAAGGGAAGAAGAGCGACCTGGCTGTCTAAGTCAACGCCAAAGGCTGCGTCTTTTGGTTTTGTCCAAACTAACTAAACTAGCAACGATTTATTCCCAATCTTCACACCCCTCCCTCTCGAGAGGGGGAGGGGGGCGTGCAGGCGGGATCTGAGACAGCATCACCCTTTCTGGGGCCGAGCTTTCTCGCCTTGTCTTTTTTTTCCCAAATCCCATCATGACAAGAAACCCCACCGGGGCCGTCTGGCCAGCTGCACGACGCCACGGCACGCTAATAGGTTGCTGTCAGTGACAAGTCAATTGCTCACCCTTGTCAAGATCAGTGTACTTTCGAGATCGTGTCAGTCTTGAGTCTCTCGATTGCCGGCTTGCTTCGTCACTGACACCCCCTCAAGCAGGATCGTTGCCTAAAACCACGCTGATCTGGTTGAAAGAGTGAACTTGGAGCGAAGAGGGAACATGAGAAATGTTGCCGACTCCAACAAACCCATTCCCATCCATCCCGCCGGTGCCCTTGATGGCCCACTCACACGCGGCCAAGGCAAGATGTGAATGGATATAATACGTACAACAGACAGACCAGGCAGGCTAGTAACACGCCAGAGACAGGATGGTACAAAGTCGTTCAAACAGAGCAGAGCAGACAAGAGAAAAGAGGCAAATTGTGCAAGAGGAGCAAGCTGTGTTTCGATACTTGCCTGCCAAGACACGTTGATTATCAGCTACATCACAGTTAAGTACTAAAATACAAGCCCATCCAGATCGCCAAAGCCAAGTAGTAAAGCCCAGTTAAAATTTCCATTATCCTTTCGATACCAAAGCTGCGTTTGCTGTATCACTCTTTCTAAAGTGCTCAAACACACTCTCGTTGCTGTAATCTTTCTTGTAGCCCCAAAAACGTATTTACCATTAGACTTCAGATGAAGATTCATCGAGACAAGATTCCGACCCAAAAGTATTTTCCATCACCCTCCACACCCCCATCCAAAGTTTTGTCCAAGAAACTGAAAAAAAAAAAGAATGTTGTAAAAAAAAAAAAAAAAAAAGGCCACCGCGATATTGCGAAGAGGCGCCGCCCAGGTTTAATAAGAAAAATCCCATATCACTCCCACCTGATGGATATCAATTGCCGTGACGCGTAAAACGAAGGTCGAGAAGAAGAGACACTGTTTAAAAAAAAAAAAAAAAAAAAAGCCAAGAAGCCGGAAACCCGATTGCGCCGCCAAAGACCAAGAGAATTCGCATTGCGTTTTTGCAGTTGTACATGGAGAGCCGTGACTGTTGCCGGTCGGGGAAGTCTGATATCATCCCTCTGACGTCGGCAGTCGGTTTCTCTTGATAAGCATCGCCTTCTTTTTCTTTGCAGATGCCCCGGTTTGAGTTGCCAAGATAGCATCCATCCATTTCATGATGGAACTAGTTTTGACAGCAAGTGAGCCCACCACGCGAGCCTCTGCATGTCTCAGGCTCAGGCCGCTCTACCAGGGTAGGGACAGGCCTTGGCCCCGCTGCCATGCACAATGGATTCCGCGCTCTCGTGCAACATCCATCTCTTGGCTCATCTGGGCGAACTTGCTCACAACCCAAACCGTACTGATATGCGAGGGGAAAACTCGCTCAGTAATCGTCGTGATTGTCCGCCATCATCTTAGCCTTGGGCGGGGCTCTGCGCTTTCGGCTGCGCTCTTCTTGCTCGATGATGGGAACGGCTGCAGGAATGAACTCCACGCCGCGGTTGCGGCTGTTGGGGCGGGCGTGCAGTTTGCGGTGGTTGTTGAGATTGTCTTGTCGGTTGAACTGGTTTTTTCCGCAGAACTCACACGAGAAACGGTTAGGTCCTTCACCGTGGAACCTAAAAGGTCGTCGCGGGTTAGTATCGGGAGTGCGAGTTGTGTGTCTTCAAGTTGCATTGGTACCACATACGTCTGCTTGTGTCTCTTCAGGTGCTCGTTGCGGCGGAACGCCTTGTGGCACCCGGGGTAGTCGCACTTGCACATGGCTCGGCGGACGACATCGACTCCGTTACCGTCACTCTTGTCGGACATGTTCCTTGAGGCGCGGATCTGGGCACGTTGGAGTTCCGACGTCTTGCGCTGAATCTCCTGTACCATCATCTTGCGGTGGGCACGGAGGCGGCTGGGAGAAGGAGGAGGGCCCTGGAGGTAGAAGCGGCCAATGGGGGACTGGGAGTGACGCTCGAGGTCGATAGCGTCGAGGCTGTGAGAAGCGAGCGTCTTTTGCTGGGGGAACAGAGCGATGGGGCTGTCGTTACCGCACGACCACGATGATGAGCTGTCGCCGATATCCGAACCGGAGAGGCTGTGCGTAGGTGTCATCATGAAGGAGCCGGGACCCATGGCAGCCTGGGGCGAGATGGTGTACATGTTGTTGAAGGAGTTGGAAGGAGTCAGTGAGCCCATGGACTGGTGTGAGGGCATGTTCATGCCGGGCATGAACTCGTAGTCTACGTTGAGGTGCTCAACTTTGCGGACTGGGGTTGAAGGAAGTACTTCCGGGAAGCCCATGTGGTCAGGCTCGGGCTTCACGTTGCCAAACATGTACTTGGGCAAGGTTGCCGTGGAAGGAGGAGTCAGCTCGCCGGCCTGGTGAGCGGCGGTAAAGGAACCATCAAAGTCGAGAGTCAGGTCGTTGGGCGTAGATCGTCGAGAGGTGGGCGTGAATGGTTCGCAAGCGGAGGAAGCAGAGGAGAAGCTGGTGCCTGTGGACGGGCAGGTCATGGCCTGCGGATAGATGCTGAAGTTGTCGTCCATGTCGAATGGGAAGTCCGACTCGAACTGCATTGTGGTTGCCATTGCGGGAGGAAAGTTTGATGTAAGAAACGAGAGCTGGAGAGTTGAGTGGAGGGAGAATGGAAAGGAATGTGTTGATGGATAAAGAAAGAACAAGTTCGAAGGGGGTTCGATATCCAGGTCAGAGGCCCGTAGTAATATAAAGGAAGGTGAGGAGGCAGGCGAGCAAGAGAGAGATGAACCTGAACAAAGAATGCAGTTTTACTTCGGAGAGGACGGACGCCCCTGAAGATATACCATCGAGGTGGAATGAGCTGTGGAGGAAGCTGCAGGCCGGACTGAGACAAGAGAGGTGTGTAGATCGCCCCGCGAGATATCGTGAGGTCTGGTGAGTTGTCTGGGCAGGATATAGTGACGGAGTCTTGGGAGAAGGTGGGAGGGGGAGTGAAGTTGGAGGTGAGTTGACTGAGAGGGTGTATATAAGTGCGAGGTGATGAGGGCGTGTAAGAAGGCGTCTAGTGAGAGAGAAGAGAGAGAGAGGTGTGTGTGTGGTGTGGGAGGGGTGAGATGGTGTGCGGTCTAAGTGAGAGGCGTGCGAGTGAGTGAGTGGACCACGCGGGCGTGTGTCTCTGGGCAAAGGCCGAGACGACGAGCCAAACTAAACATGCTTGAGAGTGAGAGAGATAGAGAGACAAGAGACCTTGTGGGTTCCCTTTTTTTCTTTCTTGTTGCTTGTCAGGTCAGGTCCCAGCCAGGGTGGAATGGAACTAGACGATGCACCAGCGCGGGAGGGGAGGGGAGGGTGACAGCAGTGCAGGGGGAGGGAGAGGGCCCCGGTTTGATGGGCCAGGTTTCGCTCGATCAGCCGATCCCACGGGTTGGCTTCTCACATTACGACGAGAGAAGGGACTGAGAAAGAGAGTGTGAGTGACAGCGAGGCGCGGGTACCTACCCAAGGGCTGTGGTGGGTTGGTTCCACCAGAGACTATCGACGGTCACAGTTTTTGGGGGGGGGGGGTTTTGCGCCGATTGTTCACCAGAACCGCCCTCGTCTTGTCTCTGGCGTCCCTCGAGTCCTGTCGCTGAAGTGCTTGCTAGTCAACTGCTCCCACGGGTGACCGTTCCTGTTCAAGGGAGGAAAAGTATTTGTAAAGCGGATTCAACTGTTGCTGGTAGCCGTGGTGACGACGGCGAGAAGAAGGGCAGTGAGAAACTGGTGAAAGCCGCGGTCTTTTGCGAGGGACAGACAATTGGAAAAACGCGAGAGGAAGGAGAGGTCCAGGAACTAGTTACCAAGGCATGGCGGAGATTATTGAAGGAGTAGTGGTTCGTTGGACATTTACTTTTTTCCTTTTTAATTTTCTGGTTGTAACATAACAGGCCATGTTTAGTGAATCTGAGGCAATTCGAAACTGACAAAAAAGAAAATCGAAAAGCTCCGAAAAGCCCATCTTCTCCTCATTCCATTCTGTCTAAATGGATAGTAAGAGGCGCAATGCCATTTCAAGGCCAAGTGGGTTGGTTGCATGCCACCACCACTTTTCGACCAGCAGCGTATTCTTTTTCCTTTTTTATTATAACCAATTTTTTCCTTCTTTTTACTTTTGGGGGCTACCATTTCCAGATCACCACCACACGCTCCTTTGTCCCTTGCTCTGGCAACAAAGGCTCGTTTTTTCCCCCTTGGCGTAGAAGTCCGAACAGGGCATCAAAAGCAACCGAGGGAAAAAAAAAATTGCGCGCAAAAATCCCGAAAAGCACAGGCAACTACAAAAGCAACAAGCATATGACCAAAGGCGGCTAGCCACCTAGATAGTTACGTAGGTAGGCTTTCAGCATCCCCAATCCACCAAAACCCGCCCACCCCATCGTGCGAGAGACACATCACGGGTTGGTCGGGTTTTGGTGGATCGGGTGAGGGGACGCGCCGTAACGTCGGGAAGCAGCATACTTGGTATACACGCTAGAGGTGGCGAGAATAGCTGAAATGGGAATTTGAATTTGCCCAGCCAGATTAAAAGTCGAGCCAAGCAAAGAGGCTGCGGCTGTGTGGTGGACTGACTGTCCCGGGTCTGCTTCTCGGGGAGAGGCAGTTGACGATATTGGCTTCTTGGTCAATATCCTTTGCCCAGATATGCACACAACGGCCCGATAAAACTCAGGGACCCAAAGACGACGAAGGAGGACGTCAAGATGCTGGATTCACTGCGTGACCGTCTACCTATACCTCCTCGCACTATGCACGAGACAGGTTGTCGGAATGCCATCACGTTATTGCCGGGCGGCTTGGTCCCAGCCAGCCTTTTTCTTATTCGACCCATAGTTCAGAATTTCTCTCCGCATAACGACGAGAAGGAACTGGTTGAGCCTCTTGGCTTGTGACCCTTCTCTTGGTCCTCCTCCGCCTCCCTCTAATACAAACGCCCAGGCAGGGCGTGGAATATGGAGCAAGCAACGGGAGCTCCGTTGGTCGCGCATCCACCGAGTAAAAAAAAAAAATCCCTTCCGGGAAACCCGCCAGGATGAATGGGAAAAGAGCCTACAGCAACGTGGAATTAGTTTTGGGGGGAGAGGGGGGAGGGGGCTTGCCTCGCCCCCCGCTGGTAACCCGTTGCTACCGTCCCGCGCGCCGCGCGCCGGCCCCCCCGTCCTTCCCGCGAAGTTCAAGTGGTCGGGTCGACGACAGAGCTGCGATTCTATTGAAAGAGATGCGATATTTTACATGATTATATGTTGACAGAAAAAAATATATAAAATTCAATAAAATTCAGCAAAATGTCTACGAATTGTGCATAAAATGGTCATAAGCATGGTGGAAGCGGCCAGTGGCCACTGACGTAGCCGCCATGATGCTTGATGATGGGTGCCGCCCCCATTCTCCAGGGCTCGCCTCATCAGCCACTCAGCTCTACACAGCGCACAGTACGGTGCTTGAGAAGGTGAGAAGCCGATTTTCATTTCCTCCTAGAACCATTCGTCATGGCTGGCTCTCCATATACTTATGCTCAACTTCGGTTACCAGACCTTTGAGTTTTCTTCATTTCCCCTCATTCTATTTACATCTCTTGTCGTGCTTTGCTCAGCCGTTCGATCCCCCCTCGTCTTACTAGTTAACTAGTGTCTACGAGTATACGAGCCTCGGTGCCAACGACGTGACGAATACAAAAGGTCTAGTCAAATAAAGTTTCCCGACCCCAGCCCCTGCTACCCGGTGACGCACACTATCACTCACATCTCTTCTCCCCTACCCCCCTGCCCTGTTCTTAACTTATTTCGGTCTCAGCGAGATATAATACAGGGCCCAACCCCAGGTCGTGCCAGGTCGTGCCAGGCCGTGCCAACATTGGATTATCACAATCATCAGTGTTCGAGCGCAAAGAGCGCAGCAGACAACAACAACAACAACAACAACAACAACAACAAAAAGCAGTTGGTCCTGTTCTACCTCACCCCTGTCTATATAGATCTCCGAGCGCTGCCACTTCGTACTCCGCCCGTCCACATCAGGCCATATTGGCTTGCGCGCGTGGATCTGCTGCCCGGCAGTTTGCGGTCCACTGGTCGGCATAATACTTGCCGGTTCTGCTGAGCAGATGCTGCTCCAGGGCAAGAAGTTTAGCCTTCGGCCACAGCCCGTTTTTCCGTGGGCAATACTCGATTCAGCCGTTGGAGGGATTCGCATAACAAATCATGAGAGTGGCGGCGCTGCCAGCCACAATGAGATTGAGAGAGAGAACGAAACAGCAAAAGATGACAAAGACTAGTGTACGCCACAGCTAACCAAACCTGCCTTGGGCGGTTGTCTGTGTTGCGTGCGGCTTGCTACATCATCAGATGGCATTGGCTTTTTTTTTTATAAAGCTTGGCAAAGACGGACGCGCGCGCAAAAAAAAAAAAAAAAAAAAAAGGTAAAGCCATGGCAAGACTAGCCAGGCACGGCGTTGGTGGCACGCGTGCGGTGGTAACTTGTTCAGCCTTGTCTCTGTATGACAGCTCAGTTGGAACTGACAGCAGATTGACGGTCTTGCCACTTGTCTTGAGTGGATGGCATCCCGAGGTGCCACATAAGTGCAACCAAGGAAGCTGTCAAGCGCTTTTCATTGTCATGTAAACTGCCTCCCGATCTGGGAACAGAGCTGCCCAAGTATGAATCATGACTAATACAAAAGATGCTGAATTGTTTTTAAATGCTAGCAAAAGAAATGACGAAAGGGGTTTTTTTTTTTTTTTTTTTAACTATATGTAAAGCAATGATTGTAATGGTGAAAGTCATGACGGTAATGAGTACGCCGAAGCTGACCTAGATACTGCGCCTGAGCGATAACCGATTTGCATTTCGGCATCGCCTGCATGCAAACTTGCACCTCTTCTTAGAATCTCCCCCGGCCGTAACCACGGCTTTTTCGCCCGGAATGCATTGGATGGCAAATTGCCGTGTTAGTCACGCACCACCCATGACAAGCCCCCGGTGAGACAAACTCGTGTACTTGGTTTCAGACCTCTTTACGCTGTGCCCTGTCCAGCTCATCGGGCGCGCCACCACAAAATTACGCACCAGAGGAACACTACGCCTCTCTCTAGTTATCCGTACCGAGTCCTCTGTCAACTTTTCTCTTGTCCCATTTGCTGCGAACTTGAATATTACAGTTACCAATGCCGCGCCCGCGAAGGGCTAACCCAGTCCCGCCATCGGACAAAGGGTGATGGCGCTGCCCGCTCATCGCGGATATCTACCAGATAGATAGTTTTCTTTTTGACTTTGCTCCTGCAGCGAGAGCTGATGGCCGCCCTCGCTCTCCACCGCAAGGGAAACCGCCGAGCCACCAGCGGGCATTAAAATTCGCGGGCCTTTCCTCCCGCAGCGAACAAAGAGGCGCCAAAAAAAATGGCACAGAGAGTTTTGGAGCCAAGAGGAGGAGGAGAGAAGTCCCACCTGGACGGGATATGCGGTAGGGAAGCAGGCCTGGCCCGGCGGTCCCATATTCTCAGGAACAAAAGACACACGACTGGGGGTTTATCGAGGTCGGGTGGTGTGCGTAACCCTTCACATG